AAAGTCGAGTCAGTCTGAGGAGCAGGGAGGGGGAAAGGAGGGGGCAGAAAGTGGGGGGAGAAGTTTGCAAGGAGCTAGGGTGCTTGGGGAGGTGGGGGAGTTCATTCGTTGAGAAATAGGGCCCTCATCCCCAGGGTTGAGGATTTTTCAAAAACCAGCTTTTAGATTTACAGCTTTCTGCCTGGTTCTTGCCCCCCGCCCTGCCACCATTCTGTGGGACACACACCCACCACCCTACGGGGTGGGGGGACTGAAGTTGGGATCCTGGCTGTACCCCGAGTGGGGGTGGGGCAGGGCGAGTGGGAGCAGGCTGCAGGGGCCCTGAGCTGCTGGTCCAGTTGGGAGGGCCAGGACTGGACTGGGCTAAATTGTCTGCGGAGGGCGCCTCGCTGATTGTGTTTAGTGTGTTTTGTGCCTGGATCTCCAGGGGTTGGCTACGGAGCGGACCGGAGGCGCGGCCGCCAGATCTACTCGCGGTACCAGACCCTGGAACTGGAGAAGGAATTTCACTTCAACCGCTACCTAACTCGGCGCCGGCGCATCGAGATCGCCAACGCGCTCTGCCTGACCGAGCGACAGATCAAAATCTGGTTCCAGAACCGCCGGATGAAGTGGAAAAAGGAATCTAATCTCACGTCCACGCTCTCAGGGGGCGGCGGAGGGGCCGCGGCCGACAGCCTGGGCGGAAAAGAGGAGAAGCGGGAAGAGACAGAGGAGGAGAAGCAGAAAGAGTGACCGGGACTGTCCCTCCCCCCTCCTCCTCCTTCGCCCCCCAGCGCCCCCTGACCACACGCTCTGTATTTATCGCTGGCACAACTGGTGTGTCTTGGCACCCTAAGGAGCATTAGGGAGTCAGATATGGACCTGAAAGTAAACTCTGGACCCCCGCCCTCACCGCACAAACTCTCTCACTGCGCGCCGCCGCCTCTTCCTCCTCCTCCTCCTCCTTCTCCTCCTCGCTCCCTCGCTAGCTCGCTCCCGGCTTGTCTGCAGGCCCCTTCCCCCGCCCAGGCCTTGGGGGCTCTGTCCCTGAACCTCGCTTCAGACGCCCCTGTTCTCCCTCGAATGAGGACTTGGCCTCCCACCCCC